GTTTCCCTTCTCTTTGCTGCTCTTCCTTTTAAATCCTCATGTCTTCTCATGCTGGGGGATAACTTCCCTTTGCAGCTGAGTGCCTCTTCCTGTAGTGCTGGCTCAGGTTGCAAACCTACACATAGACACCGTGTATCCATTCCAGAGACAAAGCAGTCTGCTGCAAAACAGAAGTTCTGCCCAGCATGAGAAGAGATAGGGATTTAAAAAGGAAGAGCAGCAAAGAGAAGGGAAACAAGCATGGATTACAGTAAGGCACACATTACAGTATTGTTTTATGTTAAAAAAAATCTGAGGGTTTAATGTCACTTTAAGTTCTTCTTTAAATTTTCCACAAGCAGGGGCATCCCAAGACTTTATTCCGCCTGAGGCATCGGGGGTTGGGGGCCCTTACACATCTCCCCTCTCTCTCTCATCATGTGCAAAAACCAATGTTTCCGTTCCGGGGTCCCTTTATCAGGGTGATATAATGACTATGTCAACCTGATGAAGGGACTCTGCATGGCACCTTTTCAAATACAAATAAGAATTTATAAGTATTGATCGAGTGCTGGTGATCTTCATTTGTATCAAGGTAACATGACCAGACTCTGCTGACAGCTTCTTTTTTTTTTGCTCCACTGGCTTCAGGAATCCCATGCTTTACAAAATGTGCCTTACCTGAGCTTTTATTTTGAATTCACTTATTTGTTCAATTTCCTATTTTGCATCTCAGTTTTGCTGATCTGCCTCATCCTCTTTCAGCCACTTACTTTCTTCATGCACTCGCGCCACCATTACTGGCATATAGCTTTGGACTGGCTTTCCGATGGTGACAATGGCAGACCATGCCTGCATAAAGTGTTGGCACAGCCAATTGCAGTCTGTTGTAGTTGCTGACACAGATGCTCAAATGACAGTTGTTACCCAATGACAAGAAATGTATGAAAAAGGACGTACCCGGCAGGATCACCAGGTATGCGTTTAATGACAGCTGAATTTCTAAACCACTAAATCGTTAAAACATAGGATGTACATACAGAACAATTGATTATAGCACACAGGTACACATCATCTCACCAGGATTCCTCCTTTCACCCAATAATGGGCTTAGTCATAGAGATTTTCTTTTCGTAACTGCCGAAACT